ATTTCACATTGTTACAATCACTATCAAAATTTGGCATAAACTGACGCCAATCGTTTTCCATCTATTCTTCTTTTTTTGTGGAAATAATAAAACTTGATAATATTCTCATAATAAATCTTCCCTCGAAAATACCTTCGTAGAAAGTATTTGATCCACTATAAAATATGGATTTCTAAGTTTCTAAGTTTTCTAGTTTATTGAATTTTCTTATTGTGAGTCTAAAATTCCAATATAAATGAAGTCAATGGGATTCTATTACATTCTTACTTTAAGACAAAAATTAAGAATAACAAGGAAACTTGAAGAATCAAAATATAGACATATATACTTTAATTTCCTTTTTGCAATTGGGATTGAAATGTCGACATGCATAGGTTGATACTTTTTTTTTATAAAGAATATCAAACTGTTAATGGATTATTAAATAGATCCATTTGAAAAGAATGAAATGATGTATTTCGTTTTTTTAGAGAAAACAAAATCTGAACATAGTGAAAAGTCAAGCCTATTCGACAAGTACTCAAATTTGATTTTTTTCGAAAACGAAATTTTTTTATTTTTAATTTTAGTTTCATTTTCATTATTTCGAGTATCTCTTTGACTTCATTTGTATCATAAATTTAGAAATAGTATGAAATTTATACTTTCTGTACAAATAATAATACTTATTAATTATTAATATTAACGATTAGTATTAATATTAATAATTAACTCTAATATTAATAATCAGCATTAATTAATATTATTTATTAAAGTTATTTATTTCATAATTATTGATATCATTTAGATAGTTGATTGGCTTTGATATTAATAATTATTAATAACATTTTAATTAATTAATTTTTGGAAGAGGTAACGTTTTTACCCACATTTTTATGTTACAAATAACAGTGTACAAGATCGACAATAAAAAGAACTTCGCAATAAATGGCACAGAGAACGTTATAATCTTCAACGCTCGCAATCAGCAAACTCGCTACGTTGGAGTGATATTCATTTTTGGTCAATTGATAATATAATTGCGAAATTAAACCGGATTCGGATACAATACGACTTTCTACCAAATTCATCTCTCTGTCCCTGACACGTTTTTATTCCCTTCCAAAATTTGCTCAATCTCAGAGAGGAAAAAAAAAAAGAAAAAAATAACACGCCCTTGATCGAAACATTCTTCGGCGAAACGATCAAAGATAGGTCAAAAGTTCTCGCGATCGATCGAAAATTTCTCTTGGCGAGCGATCCCTCACTTTCTTACTTTTCGGATCAGCTTAGAGAAGAGACGAAGATCTGGATCTGTTACGAGTAACGGAATCGATCTGGCCGACCATTTAAGTGATCCTGCCGTGAGTAAGCGGACCTACGTGTGTGTAAATAAACGTGATCGCGTGAGTTTTGAGAAGAAATCGAAGTAAAAATTATTCCTCCGGTACAGTTTGTTCGTGTTGGAACAAAACACTGTGTTAACGTTTCAACTGAAAAACTATGTACATCTTCACGCTGATAATCGCTGGTATTTTAATGCTACAATCGTACGTTGATACTGAATCAAGTAAGTATATGACGAATCGACGTGAAAAGATTTTGTCGAAATTGAATACAGTTTCTATCTTAAATTTTAAATTATTTTTTTTATATTCATAGCAAATTGCCCAAGGAAAATGTATCATTATCATTGTCCATAACACGCATAATAATCATATATTAATCAAATGGTCATTCGTTTCAGCTACAGGTATTTTACAATAGAACTATTGCAGATCTTTAATTTGAATTTAAATTGAATTAACAATTATTATCAATTGTTATTATTTAATAATGATAATTAATTCGTATTAATATTTAATCGCTATTAATTAATATTAATAATATTTAATCGGTATTAAATTATTAATAATATTAATTAAAATTTAAATAATTAATTTTAAATTCTGTGAATGGATACGTAAAAGTCGACGAAGTTCAACTTCGTCTTTTTCAAATAGAATCATACACACACATACACATATAAATTGATGCAATTCGACATTCTCTAAAAATAAAATATTAATCCATGTATATTGAAAAATTATTAATTTAGGAAATATTTTAATTTTCGTTGTTGGCGCCATTATAATTAATTTATTACCTATCTTTTTGGGAAACCAAAGTTTTTCCACAGATTCTATTTAAAAAAAAAAAAAAAAATTGCACATTTTACCGGTGATTGATAGTTGTAGCCATTCTGTTTCTATGAAAATGAAATTAAACGTGAATTTCTATGAAAATAAATAAAACGTGAAATTGATCAATTTCGTCTCTGACAGGTTCAAATAACACTGCGGTGAAGCCAATTTGAACATGTGGTCCGCGAATCTAGGGCATAAGTGCTAAATTAGAAATTAGATTAGAAAACATTCGATCCGTCATTTTAAATGTATCGTGGTTTATAAGAAACAGACAGAAGTAGAGGAAAAGATTCCTACAAAAGTAGAGGAAATTACGCAATACGCAAAAGCACACCAGGGCAAAATAAGCAAACGTAGAAACCAGAAGCAAGAGTGCTGAAAACTACTATTCAGGCCTTCCTAGAAGACTTGAAAAGAAAACACTCATCTGATCCACTTATATTCAACCAACAACACTAAATTAACTATTATTTAATACATACCAATTATCACGTAAATAAATTACTTTAATTATAAATAAGAATATCGATAAATATATCGAATTCCAGATAATCTGTTTCTATCAAAAATAAATTTAACCTGAAGCTAGAAATCATTTTAAGTACTCTTGAGCCAAAACAAATAATAATTTTCATTACAAAATTCCACATATTGTACATATATGAAAACTAAAGTATAATAAAAAAAAATATGTAAGAACTCACTAAAAAAAAATTGTAAGAACACAAATATGTATTACTTTATAAAATATCTTTGCTTCTGTTTTTCATGTACAGGATGGTCAGGTTTAGGTTAGGTTTAAGTGAGGCCATCTAAATATCTTTTCGAATTGTATGTAAAAAATATTTTTTGCCTAACATGAATAACATCCAAAACGCTAATAACTGATAAATATATTTTTTTCATTGATATCTTTTTTCATATAACTATATATTTTCTTTTATTGCATCATGTAGCTGATGAAAAAATACGTTCGAATATGTAAAGAACATAACCTTGAAAATTTAAGTTTTACGTATAAATGTACCTCTACCTATAAAATTACTTCTATCGGGATCACAGAACTTGGCCAAGACGCGACAATAGAGAGCCTTATAATAAATGTAAATAAAAATGTTTACTATTTATTACATCGTCATTATACTACATTCATATTAGGAAAAAATATATTTTACATCATCGCAATTCGAAAAGATGTTTAGGTAGCCTCATATAAATGAATCGCCCTGTATTTAAATTATCATCATATGATAATCACCTATCAAGTATATCATTTTTAGTTAACAGAGTTGTTAAAAAAACTCTCAAAAAACAGAGTTGTTATTGTTCAATCGCTGTTCGAGCATAGTTCTATATTTATACTTTTTATTATTAATAATTTGCTAATTATTAATAATTAAAAATACTACTCCTTACTCTGCAGTAGTAATCGAATATTAAATATTCGAAACCATAAAAGTTTACATTGCTTTTGAATTTTGGAATTCTTTCATTTGATTTAATTTTATTCCTAATTTTTATCAGAAATTATATAAAATACAAAATAAAATTAAATAACTTAAATTTTTGTAATAATATAGGTTGCTACAGCCATCTGTAACTTTGTGAATCACCGCTTAAAAATGAAAAATGTATTGATTCAAGAAACATTGTTTTAGCCAGGCTAAGAATTTTATATATACTATATATACGTCTGATAATTATTTTTTATTTTTATTTTAAATAAAGTTTATCCAACTCTAGATTAAACTTAAATTAGATTACCATTTTCAATAAAAAAATTAAACAATTAGTGATTAACAAATTATTGAAATAATTGTAATTTGTCATAACAATTGCAATTCGTATGAATAAGATGAGCAGAGCGACATAGCGGATAATCAAAAGACAGGGGCCAAGCTAGCATTACCAACCTTTCCATCGTCACAAATGGAAATGTATCAAGATCGCATCAAATATTATAATTTCCAAATCGATGGTACTTATAGACCGTTTCAAAACAAGTAAGTGTATATGTATATTCTGTAACTACATGATAATATTTTTTTGATTAACATCTCTAGGAATAAAAATATATAATATTCAAGGATTGAATTCTTAAAAATCTATATATTGAATATTACTTGAAATTAGAGAACTAAATTATTACACATATACTTTATACGTGGATCTAGTCATAAAAAAAAATTTTCAGTGATTTGAGAGATGTTTGAATTTTTATAATTTTCAAAAACAAAAGTATCTTTACTTTTTCGTTCACATAATGCAATAATATAATGTTCAAAAGTCTCTATTTATAATATTACCGTACTAATTTATAATATTGATAATAATTTTTAGCAGTATTTAAATTATTATATTAATTGAAAACCTGTGCACTTATGGTTAAATTGATAAAATTCCCTAGTTGAAAAAGGAAAACCGCAGTATAATTGTTTTCACAGATCTGTGAAAATACTTTTTTTAAATACTGATTCCGTATAAATTACTATCAACTTATAGTATAAAAACAAATAATTTGAAATGACTAATTGTAAATTTTAAAATGCATCTTTTATAATTTGTCTTGTAAAATGTAAATATTATTTATAATATAATATTTATAAATATTTTCTAGAAATATCGTTACATTAATTTTAATATTGTTACATTTATATATCTATATATGTATTAATGTTATTCTATGTATTAAAAGTTTTTTATGCTCTTTGCTCTTTGTAATATATTTCTTAACTGTTATTTATTGATTATTAATTGTTTATTAGCATTGGCTGTAATGTTATTTCAATAATTAACTAACAATTAGTAATTTACTATTGACGATATAAAGTTTCACTTTTCTTACTTACGATTTTATCTTCTGCTGCTAAGAATTATTTTTATGTTTCAGAAAATGCCCGTTATGCGATACCTCTGTCTTTCCGTATTGCGGAGAAAAATTACTACACGACGCGTGTTGCTGCACTGATCCATACACTCACGACTTACCTTATCAATGTAAATTAGCGGATTGCCGATTTTTGCACGCGAACAGCTGCAGAGAACATCGATTGATCGCGACCTGTTGCTGCAGTGACGATTACCGATCTTTATTGAAGAGTTTCTCGAATGTTTAACAGATGTTGTCTGCCAAGCAGATTTTACATACTCTGTCTATTTATTTCATTATTGTATATTATAAAATAATAAAAAAAGAAAGAACAATATTGTTAACTATAAAAACGAATGAAATATTAATATATTAATTCATTAATCGTTATAATTATAATTAAAAATTCATTGCGACATTTTTATCGAAAAGAATTCGAAAAGAATATTTACTTTCCTCTGCAGTAATTTTTATTTTCCTACAAGAAAAAAAGGTTAGTTAACTGCGTAACTGACTCAACAAGTTAAACACTACGAGATACATTATTATATAGTATTTTACAATTTTACAATACAACATTATTTAACAATATTTAAAATTTTAGAAATTTCACATTTGATTCAAACACTTTAATTAACCTCAATGGTCACCAGTGACTTCTATGGCGCCACTACCGCGACAAATGTCAGTTATTGGTAACCTCCAAGATAGCCAACATGTTAAAATTATCTATCGATTTTATGTAGTAATAATGTAGAGAAATACATATCATAGATTCCACTTGTTTTGACATGGTAGATATTCTGGCAATATACATGCATCCCGCGTGAATATGAAATTAAATAAGTTCGAAGAGACTTAGTTCGAAGTGATTTCAATCCAATTTTTATGCATTAATATGTGAACCAAACATAGAATACGAGTAATGGTAAATATATGAGTTAATAATAATCTTTGATCGTACCACTTTGTGCAGTTACAAAATGGGTCAGTGAATCTGTAACAGATGTGCCATTTAATTATCTACGGCAATTAGTCTTGACACGTGTCTGATAAAGCTTCTTCTAAAATACATTCGTCAATTAGGCATCGTTTTATTTCTGTAGATCGTTACTTTACTGTAGAAATTACTTTTGTAAAATGTTCAAGTAAAAATAGACAAAAGAACTATAAATTTCTATTGTTAAAAGTACGATATATATATATTTTTTTTTATTTGAATTACTACTTTGGAATTAAATCAAACAATAAGAAAGGAGAAAACTGAGTAATTGTATGTAATACGCGATAACATTGAATGAGATTTAAGGTCATTTATTCTCCTTATTGTCAATAATATATAAAATTATATTTATTACTGATTTTCCCTTGAAGTTTGCACGCTCTCATTAATTTAATTTATCTATTTCGAAACTGAAAGACTTGAACAGTCTGATGTCTTACATTTAAAAGAATAAAAATAATCAAAGACTAAAATTATCTCAATCGCATATGTAATTTTACGATTATTTTGCGAGATCATAATTAGAAAAATTTTTTAAAATATCATCATAGTGAAAATAAAATTTTTCAAGGAATTAAATGATGAGAATAAATATTTATAAAATATAATTATGATAAATATTTTTATATTTATAGTAAAGTCCGAAAAATGTTACTTTTCTAGTGAATTTTTTGATGAAAAATTTAAGATCATTAATGTTTTTTCAATATTTTTTTGAGAATAACTAATTATTTTTTTAATCATTTTTTTAAGATTGCTGATGTATTTTCAATAATTTTATTTTTAATATAACATTTCAGTCAGTAGAAAACTTGCTACATATATTAAATAAAAATTCTTTTTGCTGTGATACAAATAGTTCTATGAATATGATTTTCATGCTTTCCTTTTTTAATTAGTATATACTATTTTTTTCTTATTTTTTTAATAAATACCTAATACAAAAATTGATATTTATAAGGATATATATTTGTTAAATAAGAACTATACCTTTGTTACACATACCTGAATTAATATTAATTTCTGAAAACACAAATAACAAATAATGCATTAAACATGTTAATTATTTTACCACATACTAAACCTTGGGACGTGACAATTAACTAAATTTTAATTATAATAAATTCTAATTTCTTAACGATTGTAGCAATTTTATACTTTTTTTTTAAATAGTTCTAATTTAAATAGCTCCATTATCACCATCCATTCTTAATCGAAAATATTATTCCAACAAAGTTATAAAATGAATACTGAATTACAATTTTGCAGAAAATACTATTAACCATGATACTTATTCTAGAAAATCAAACAATCGAGATTTTAAAATGTTTTTCTAGCCAAAATTTTCTAGTCAAGTAATAAATTAAACTTTAAGGTTATGTGTAACCACATTCAACAACAATGTAACAACTTTTATGCAACGAAAAATCTATGACAATTAAATTTTCACATAGAAATTGTGACATAGATTTCCATTGAATATGAATAAACTATTATATTAGCAATATTTCTATAAAAAAGATTTTTATAAAATACAAGTTTGTTTAAGAAAATAACCTATTTTTATTTTCTAAATTATTCTAAATTATATAATATCTTAAATTTAACATCTTAAATATCTCAATATCTTTAGTATCTTTAATATCTTAAATCTAATTATAATAATATCTTAAATTTCTAAATTATACTATAATTTAATATATATATGTATATTAGGAGGAATAAGATTTATTTATAAAGGAATTTATTCAAACATAAATAACTATCAATAGATAATTGTTAACAATATAAAAAAGTTTAATTATTCTAGATTATTCTATCTGATGAAGAAAAATATTACATCCTCAATTGACAAATGTGAGCCTCACAGTAGCTTAGTTTATTTCTTCAAATTGTGTTATCTGCATCTACGTAATAGTATGCATATCCTTTTAACTAAGGAATTCTTATGAAGGAAGTGATTCTTCTTCTCAAAAAAAGAATACCAGGAAAAAGGAAGAGGCGACGTTTTTCAAGGTAGATGCATCGACCCTTGGTCTTGGGGGTAGGTGTTTGTGAACAGTGGAGGTCAAAGTCAAGGTCATACACGTGTCGAGGGAACCGAATGGGTGGTCCTCTGGAATACACGTGCACCCCCACTTCTATGGAAACAAACAGTGGGACTGCAGGTAAGATTCGAAGGAGACGGTTAAACAGTTGGTTACTTGATTCTTGAGACAGATATGCTTATAAATCGATCAATCAGTGCTTTTATGCTTAAAGGCAAAAACACATACAACATCGCAGACATTTGATATCTTTGACTTATTAACGATTTTTTTTTCTTTACTTCACGTTTTTGCATACATGTATTTACAGCTTACATATAGTTTTATGCAACATTGAAGCGAACAAGACTTTTAAAATGATTAGTGATTAACATTGCAATCTTCAGATTCGTGAAAATTTTAATTAAAATGAAAATAAAAAATCGATTATATTATTATTCTTATTTATATAGCATGTAGATAATATATAAATATATTGAATTTAATATAATATAAATAAATAATATACAATATCACACAATAATTATATAATATATATTAACACTGTTATTAATTAATTAATTCATATGATTTATGATACATAATATAATATTATATATTTATTATATAATTAATATAAAAAAGATTTTGAATTCTTTTCAGTTTTGATAATTATGATAATAATATAATAATAATACAAATAATAATAATAATGTACAAATAATATAAATAATAATACACAATATAAAATAATATAATACAAATAATACAAATAATATAAAATTATTAAAAAATGTATTATGATGTATATAAATTCTTTTTGTTCGTTCAAAGGTTATAGTGATACGAATATATTTCAAAATATTTGAAAGAAGTAAAAATAAATATATTAATAATAATGTTACTTTGATAAATTATTACACAACTATTACACAAAAATGCCGTACAATGTTT